TTCATGCTATTATAATAAGACGTAATATAGAGGAGACACCTGCGATTCCAACAAACCAATCGCCTGTGAAACGAGTCCCAAGTGATTCATTTTTTAAGGTTCTCTGCGACAAACATGGCAATGCTGTTTGGCTTAACGAACGTGAATGCTCAATTCAACGAAGAAACCAAAAGGTTATTGAAGAGGCTCCCTCGTCATTTGTTGATCCAGAAATGCGAAAGAGGATGGGTGCTCAAGGTATATTGCATGAATTCATCGTGTAACATACTATCCAGAATTGTTATTCGTACTGATGTGATGAATTCGCGGAGAATGCTGCCTAAAATAGTCAGACAGTTTCGCTGCTTCGGAATCGCCATTTTTGCACTCATGACTTCACTCACTGAAAACAAAATTCATCCATCTCACTCGTTGAATTGGTATGAAATCAGAAAATTTTATTGGAGACGGCGTTTCGCAGTTGTGCTTAAGTAGTACATTCGTATTGAATATCACCTTCTAAAGTTAAAGTTGTCGCATTCAGCAACTCAACTCGCTTTGGCTGTCGGTTACGATTCGGCTGGTACCGTTGAATTTTTGGTTGACTCAAAGAAGAACTTCTACTTCTTGGAAATGAACACTCGACTTCAGGTTATCCATTATTCTGTTCATTGTACGCTGTTCGTGATGAGTTTTTCAAGCCTTTCAATATGCTATGTAAATTGACGGTTTACTTAATATACTAAGTTTACTGAATATGATCCTAAAAAAAGCAATGTTAGCAGCCACGATTGGCAGAATATAACAAATTGCTGAGTTCAACACTCGATGCTTACAGGTAGAGCATCCAATCACTGAAGCGATCACAGGACTTGATATCGTACAGCAAATGCTTCGCGTTTCATACGGTCATCCGTTGAACTTCAAGCAAAGTGATGTCGGAATCCGTGGTTGGGCCTTTGAATGCCGTGTTTACGCCGAGGTAAAATCCTCCTAAAGCCGTAGAATTTGTAAAATAGACTGATGCAAGAGTCTAATCGAATGGACCAATTTTTATTACTCTGACACACAGATTACTTATGTAGTTAGACGGGTGAATACTGCCGAAAGCTTGAATCCAGACGTCTTCTTATGATTCACTTAGATGTTGCCATAGCTCGTGTCGCTGTACTCAGTATGTATGCTAAAAGACGGCAGTGCAAGAGTGTTTTCTGAAGTATTCGTAAATTCAGTCATCGAGACACATGCCTAAAGGATATTTTTTTGCATCTGTCGAAATGACGAACGCTCACGAGTGAAACACTTACAGGATCCATACAAAGGATTCGGTTTACCATCCGTTGGACGACTCACCAAATATGAAGAACCACTGAAGATCGAAGGTGTACGATGTGATTCTGGTATCAGAGAAGGATCTGAAATTTCAATCTACTACGATCCTTTGATTTGCAAGGTTCAGCCTCATTCATCTATTAGTCTCATAAGTATTTGCCACTTGCGATATGCATTCAATTCGTGTTTTTGTGAATGTAATCAGTGGCTTCCCATCGATTTGCAACTGATCAGCTCAGCTCAATCCAATGTTGAAGTTTTAGGCATAGTGGTTTGGTTCAGCTTGAAAATCACTGAATTGATATCATGATTTTAATTGAGCAATGTTACCAGTTATGAACATGTTCTCATTTCACTTTTTTAAGCTGGTCACTCACGGCAAAGATCGTCAAATTGCTCTCGATCGCATGCGTGACGCTCTTGATAACTACGTTATTCGCGGTGTAAGTTTGTGCCATTATTTGAGCGCGTAATTCGGAAATTGTTCTGAAAAAATCAAACGTGCATTGTGCCTAATTGCACGTGCCAGAATATTCGATGAATACT